TCACATTACGGCCAGAAAAGTCCAAGCAGAATCACCCTCTTCTCTCTGTAGAGGGGGCTTTCTTATTCTGGGCCAGAACTCACTTCCTTGAGAGTAATGAACTCCCTCATAATCAATCCTTGTCAACAGGAGACACTTTATTATATGAAATAAAAATAAAATTCCATACTGGATATATAGATAGTTTGAGGTACGAATGTGTTCTTTTGTATATGTCTATGGAAAGCCATAAAAAGGGATTGCAGACAGAGAAGCAAAACTTTTCTTGACCTCAAATCAGAAATGAGACCCAACAAAATTCTCAATATATATATACTATTATAGTCTGAAACACGGCTCTTCCAGTTGTTTTAACAACTGAATATGTACCTTTTTTCCCCCGTGGCAAACAGTTTTAGGTTAAGCTGTGGGAATTGTTGTTTTGGCAAACCTTGGCTTTGAGGTGTATGGCTCCTAAGTCAAATACATTTAATAATCATGGCCTTAAGATGAGGAGTAACACATTTGATATTCTCTCGTGGCTTTTGTGAGTCACTTATTGTTGGCTATGAGTCCATTTGCTAAACACTAGTTTGCCAAAAGCAAGTTTCCAGAAACTCACTTGCCAAATTCCATTCACTAAAGGGCATATTTGTAATGTGGCCCATTTCTGAATTGAGTAGAATTCATGTCGCTGAGGCCATGCCTAACCTCCATTCCTGCTGTCATGGCTGCTTTGTTCATGAGCCCATTGGACAATGACAGAGGTGGCTGTGGGAGGAATTTAACTGATGTCCACAGAAGGTGGTCATCCGATCCACCTGATTACAATGTATTGAAATCCTCCTCTGTCGAGGTCATCCTTTGCTGAGCATCACGTGAGACACAGCTATCTTCACATTCTGTGCCTGTTCATGGAGATCTAGCCGCATACCTCTTACGCAGACCTCCTGGTCACCAATTTTCCTATTGTGTTTCTTTCAAGTCCCTGACCTTCCAGCCAAATCATCAGCCATATAGCCCAAGATCTGCCTCCTTCTAGGCAAAATGAACGACCAGGTTCACTGCTCAAAATTCTGCCCACTGGGGGTGGTTTTCCCTTCACCACAGTCCTGCAGAGCTGTCCTAGAATGGGACATAGGGTTACAGCTGTCCTCTTTCATGTGATGCCTGTGTATTATGCAGGACCATCTATCTACAAACCAAGCCTAGAATTTTTTATTCTTCAGACGGATGGTCACAGGGAACTTCATATGGGCCATAGATGTGAGCTGAGAAAAAGAAGGCAAATTGTAGGAATAGGACGTATGTGACTTACTTGGATTTTCAGGTCTACTCTAGTCCAATTTCATCTATACCACTTACATTTATGATGGCTATCATAGTCAACTTTATATCTTGGTGGATTTGACAACAGCTAGTTCATGATTGGTGGTTCAGATCACATGGTAACTTGGTGGCCCATGATCCTGTGATCAGTCTCTGTTAAAGCTCAATCACAATCCAAATATCTGTTTCTCAAAAGGAAAATAGTTATGCACAAAGAATGGTGTGGCATTGCTTTACTCCCTAGAGGTCTGTATTGTATTTACTTACAAGAATCTGCCAAAGGCTCCATATAGCATCTTTATCTGCCACTCATACTTTAAGCATCATCAACACACTTCAAGCATCATCAAATCTGTTGGATCATGTAACTCAAGTGGTGGAACAGCTTTTATGGCAGCCTGGACCTGTTATAGAGCCTTCTTTTATTCAGGGCCCCATTCAAAAGTGGGAGCTTTCAGGTCCTTCAGTAAATAGATCAGAGTAGCATGCCCAAATGAAGTATATGTGGCCTCCAAAATCCAAAGAGGTTGACTAGATATTGTGTCTTTTCCTTCACGTTAGAAAGGGACAGATGCAGCAATTTGTTCTTCATCCTGGAAGGGATTTCATTGATTGGCAGACTCCCGAGATCTTTTTGGATTTATTTCCCACCCTCTCTCATGCAAGCGTCTTACTAATGTGTGCAGAGTAGTCACTACCTCCTCCCAGTCAGCACAGTTTCATTAATGTAATGGACCAGCATGATTCCGTCAGAATGAAAAGGCAATCAAGGTCCCTGGAGACTAGATTATGACATAGTGCAGAGAGTTGATATAGCCCAGGGATAGGACAGTGAATATATATTGCTGGTTGTACCAGCTGATACCAACAGATACACAAAAAGTAGCCAGCCCTGGTGGTCTAGTGGTTAAGATTCAGTGTTCTCACCTGTATGGCTTGGGTTTCTTTCCTGGTTAGGGAACCACACCATCTGTCTGCCAGTTGTCACATACTGTGGCATCTGCATGTTGCTGTGATGCTGAAAGCCATGCTAATGGTATTTAGAATACCAGCAGGGCAACCCATGGTGGACAAGTTTTAGCGGAGCTTCCAGACTAAGACAGACCAGGAAGAAGGATCTGGCCACCCACTTCCAAAAAAATTGGCCATGAAAGACCTATGAATAGCAGCAGTGCACTGTCTGACATAGCACCAGAAGGCGAGAGCATGGCAAAAAGACCAGGCAGGGTTCAGTTCTTCTGTACACAGGGTTACTAGGAGTCAGAATCAACTTGATGGCACTAACAACAATACAAAAAATAACATTCGTAAGATCAGTAGCTGCATAGCAGGTACCAGGGAATGTGCTGATTTGGCCCAGCAATGAAACCACATTTGGAACAGCAGTTGCAATTGCTTGATAATGTTTATGATAATCCACTGTCATTGTCTAAGATCCGTCTGTCTTCTGCACAGGCCAAGTTAAGTAAATATGGAATCTTTGCTTAGTGAACTTCCATTGATCAATTCAGCCTGAGCTATCTTTATATTCCTGCCACCCTGATCTTACATTCTTTTTTTTTGCTTTTTTTTTAAAGATTGGCACCTGGGCTAACAACTGTTGCCAATCTTTTTTTTTTTCTGCTTCATCTCCCCAAACCCCCCCTACACACAGTTGTATATCATTAGTTGCATGTCCTTCTAGTTGTGGGTTGTGGGAGGCCCCCTCAACGTGGCCTGATGAGCGATGCCATGTCCACGCCCAGGATCCGAACCCTGGGCCGCCGCAGCGGAGTGCATGAACCTAACCACTCAGCCACGGAGCCGGCCCCCCTACATTCTTAAGATATATTACCATACATATCTCAGGCTTCTATCAGTATAAACTGGTAAAAAGTCATGCAGCTCTTTTGGTGTGTATCACTTCTCTATGAGTCATACTTTGAATTCCATTCTTTGGGACCTGCTGAGATGTAAATCTAGTTACAGGTCCAGAAGGGTAGAGAGGTGGTGAAAGTAGTTTATGAGGAGGACCAGAGGTCCTGTGTTAGACATCTACCTCCGGGAAGGTCATTACAGCTGCTTCAGTAGAGGAGAGACTATCTTGGAAAGGGATGGAAAGGCTGCTTCTAATGCCAAAGAAGGTTTAGCAAAATTTAGGACTTCACAGTTCCAGCTATGCAACTGCATTGCAGTCTGCCCATAAGTTCCCACCAATTTTCAGTGTCCCACTCCTGCCCAATTCATGACCTACCTTTAACAAAGAGACCATATGACACTAGAAATTCAGTTTGTGTTATAAGTTAGCCATGCACATATTACTCTGTGGGTTTTGTTTTTAGAAAACTGGGCCGTAGGCTAAGATTTCTATGGGGGTTAGGCTATAGGATATAGGAGTTTCTTTTAGCAAAAACGTAGACATTTTTAGGCCCCTTATGAGAACTAGGAATTGAAAGCCCCAAGCTCCTCATTTTCTTTCCTCAATTTCTTTCGCTCATGTAGAGGCAACCACCCAACCCCCATTATACTCCTTATTTTCGCTAAAATACTGTATGGCAACAAATATTTGGTCATCCAGAGTCTTGCCTTCTGTAGGCTCTTGACTACAGGTATCTGCATGTGATAATTTGAGTAAGCGTTTTGGCGTAGTGTGCCAGAGACTACCAGTGTCCTCTTTAACACTGGAAACAGGGTTATTAATGCTTTTACATATCACCAGATTAGGGAGCCAATTCCAGGAAGCCTAGGAAAAATGAACCAATTCAGATAACTCATATTTAAGATTCTGTTCCAAAGGAACCACTCTTGACAGCAAATTCTATATCAGTCAGGGTTACATCAAGGAAGTAGAATATATACATAAATATATTTAAATAAATTTGATTTTACACAATTTTGGCAGCTAGTTAAGTAGTATCCATAAAGCTTGCTTCCTAGCTGATATTGGAATTTGAAGTCTGCAGGACAGGCCGTAGGGAAAAGCCAAAGATATCTGTAAAGGGTGAGATATCTATAAATCAAGGAAGAGCAAGGAGTAGCTAGAACCTAGAAGCCGGAGCCAGAACTTGAGAAGATGGCTTAGAACTCACGTCAGTGCTTGCTGTCTCCAGCCTTGATGCTGTGGGTGCCCTTCAGGAGGAGTTGGCATCTTTCATCATGGAGCTAAACACAACCTGGCTCAGGAGTCAGAGAAGCTGAAGGAGGAACCAAGTGAAAGTAAACACCATTGCCGGCCTGGCTGCTGTCCCATGCCAATTACATGAGACCATAGATAAGAAATGTGTGTAAGGACAAAATCATCCATCCTAACCTTCCGAACAAAGAAAAGAAATTACTGACATTTCACTTCCACTTCCTGAATGTCATGCAAAAATGTCTTTTCCGTTCCACCCTAACTGGAAACACAGAGAATGTGCTTCTGGGAAACATCGTTTAGCCTGGCCAAGTGGACACATTATGAAGTCATCACACAGACCAAAGAAGAAAATACATCTAATCACCTCACCAAAAATCAAAAGCAGTATTTGACAAAATTCAACATTTATGCATGATAAAGACCATCAGTAAACTAGAAATGGGAGGAAGTAACTTCTAGCTGATAAAGAGTATCCACAGGTTTCTCTTCCTATGGTAAAGAGCTGGCAAGGATATGTCCTATCACCACTACTATTCAACATCATACTGAGGGTACTGGCCTGCCTAATAAGGCAAGAAAAAAAAATAACCTGTGTACAGATTAGAAAAGATGAAATAAAATTGTTTGTATTCACAGAAGATATGACCCTGTGGCTGTCTAGGGATAATAATTAGAACGTTAAAAATTGACATGACCCAATTGTTGATGTATCAGTATGGACATGGGCCACAGAGCTAGACTAGGGTCTGTGAGACCCCCTCTGAGGTGAGGAGTTAATGTTAACTTGCTGGATCACGAGGACGTGAAAGAGAGTCTCTGGGCAGTCTGGCTGGCATGGAGGTATGCAGAGGCTCAGGGCAGTGGCTATTAATAACAGGAATAACCAAACTAGTATGAATCAACTGCCTATCAGCATTCAGTCTATGACTGCTATGCTTGAGGTGATTCACTTTGACTTTCTTCCTGCTGTGTTCACAGAACCAAACTAGTGCACAGAGATTCTTAAATAAGCAACAGAAGTTTATCAAATACACAGGAGAAAAACGAAAGGTTTCATTGAAAATCTCTGGGCTTAGCTGGAAGATATGACCTACATATAAGAATCTAGTGGAATACCCGTGGCAGAATGGTCATGCAGTATACACTTTACATGGAAGTGTGGAGGTAACCTAAAAAATGAAGTGCTTGGGAGTGATGAGTTTGTTTGTAGGCATCTTTGAAAGTGATTTTGGGCTAGGTCTCAAAAAGAGGATATCTTAAGCATAAAAGAGGTGTGATCAAAATCATGTATCTCAAGGAATCTCTGACAGCAGTGTTGGATGAATTAGAGTGGAATGAGACCAGAGTCAAAGCAATTAGTTCCAACAAGTCAGGATGAAAACAGCTCTAACAAGAGAAAACAGTGCCAGGATCTGGAACCTAGGCGTTCTTGATTCTGGAAGGAGTGTACCATATCCCTTTCCCTATATTTAACCCCTGCAGCCACCTAGAGTCTAAGTCTCTCTTCTTCCTGAAATCCCTGGGTCTTTTTGGAACATCCATGGAGGAAGAGCAGAGGCAGGGATATGGATATGAAAGTTCCTGTCCTTACTTTGGGACATTGTTCTGTCCTCTTTATCTGACGTGTGATAAAAGATCAAAGAACTATTACATGATAACTAATACACCTTAGCTGATATACCTTAAGTCCTCCCAAAGGATGAAACAAAAGGCTTTCAAAGGTCTTTCCCTTAAATGTGTAGATATGAACAGATACAGTCTTGTCTCAGGATTTCTAACAGTGATTTTCAAAATCTTTAATGTTCATAAAAATAATGTGGGCTGCTAATTCAAAATGCAGATGCTTGGAGCCAATCCCCAATTTACTGAATTTTAAACTAACTGTCTTGGTGATTCCTGTGTACACTAACATTTGAAAATCACTATTCAGCTCAAGCCGTTATGCCATCTGGAAGACATGTTTCCTTCGCATCTGCAGGAAATTCTTTCCCGTTCAAAATGCCCACAATGTTTACGCCTGAAAAAAAGAACACAATGTTCACAATCTCAGTATTATCAAAATGTCAATAGTGTTATTTTTTTATATTTTGTGTATATTACAATGTTCATTATATACATATACAATCTGTATATAATGTTATGATAGCTGATTACTAATATTTCTTGATGTACTGGGCACTGCACCAGGCACTTTACATACAGAAAAGTAATTAATTAATTTAATCCTCAAAACAACCATTTAGGGCATTTGTCAGTCTTCTTGGCCAGCATTTGAAACCTCTTCTTGTATTTGGAAAATATACTTTCTTTGGCAGAGTCTGCCCCTTGCAACCGAAGTTGAAAATGTCAGACACTGGCTTTCCCAGCATCCCTTGCTGCTATGGCTCATGCATATCATACACATTCCACTCACCAGATACATCTGCTCCAGAGTTAGAATCAGAAGCTTGTGACACAATGGAGGAGAGGCCTTTCAAATGTCTTATGACTATGGTGGTGGGAATATATATCTATGATGCTAGATAAAAGCAACTCTACTAGTTATCTAAATTATCTTTATATTAAGGAAATTAATGGTCATAACTAAGTACAGGTTTCAGCTACCTTGGAGCAAAAGCTATTTTCAAAACTTCAGTAGCATCTTTTGGGGTAGAATAATTTGTGTAAAAAGACAAATCACTCTTAGTTTAACAGACCTTCAAACAACGTGAAAAAAATCTGGTACGAGTTCTAAATTATTCTATACCTTCAAAAGAAAAACAACTTCATTTCTTGATCAGCTTTCACAATCTGACTTCTCATTGTTTCTGGTGTCCTTCCTTTCTAAACAATCTGGATCACTGAGGTGATGTTGGATTACAAAAGAGCTTTCCTGAGGCATAGGGTCTCATTGGTGGTGCCATCCTGTGGCATTTTAGTTAGGTTAGCTTTTTCTTTTTATAGCCTAGTATTCAAGTCTACAGTAAGCACGGAGGAGTTGGCAAAGCCAAAGACAGATCATCAAGCATTTGAGAGAGGATAAAAATGTAGTCAAACGTAGATTTTTCCTGTTTTAACTGATTATTTAGAAAGAAAAAGTGGGTAAGGAAAGAGTAAAAGGAAAGAATGATACATAGGACTCAAGATTGATGTGATTCATCCTCTGTTTTTTTCATTAAAGGAGCAACTGTACGTGAGAACAAACCAAAGTCCTCTGAATTCTAAATCTCACAGCAAAAAGCCCCCTCCCACACACAGTTGGCAACAGACATGCACAAACAAAATGCAGATTTCTTTTGTAGGAAACATCATCTCAGGTGTGTCTGATGCTTTAAAGATAAGCTCAATCCACTTCTAATTGACCGGAAGTTGGACACTCATGGCAGCCATAAGTCATCCACACTTAGTAGGAGGTCCCTAAGGCAGGCCACTGCTATTAGGAGACAGAAAAGAAATCACAGAATAGACCCAGTGAGGCTTCTATGTCTCCATGAAGGACAGACCAAATACTGGGGTCACAAGTAGTTCAGAGAGTGAGAGATTTTGAAAGAAATAATTTAATTTATATTCCTCAATAGTTATATCCTTTTAGCGAGGGATGTTACCATCTGTCCCTTTTGATCACGGACACTTGAAGAAGTGGTAAATAGGGGTACGGGACTTGGAACTAATAAGTCCTGTTGCTTATAAACCTGAGCCTGGGGTCATTAAGGTCAGGGCTGGTGTCTTTAGATGGGCCTGAGACTTTCGATCCATCAACATGCTGCTCTTCTATCGTGAAGGGTGGGCTTGAGAATCCAGTCTCCTTTCATTCTGGATTAGTGTTTCTACAAAAGCATCAAACCAAAGGCTCACTTTTTTGTTTTGGAACCCTCTCAAAGGCCAAGGATGGCTATCATCATCAGACTCATACACCGCCTGAAGCCTCTGAATGAATTTTTGTATGGAAGTGGTGGAGGGGGTTGTGCACTGTGTGTACCAGCCCAGAGTTAATGTTAAATCTTATATTTGCGTTAATTAAATTTCCTAATATAGTTCTATGGTAAGAAAGCTTGTCTGGCATTTCAGGTATGCTGAGAAAGGGGGTAGGTAATATTTCACTGTTAACATTCCAAAAAAATATTACTTAGGGGAATTTGTGGAAAAAGAATGTATTGATGAGGATATTTCACTAATAGTTTAATCATTTTTGTCCCCTTGTCCTTTTGTTGTACCTGTTAAGAAAAGCTTTGTATCCAAAGCTTTTGTACCTTACATTATCTGTAATTTTTTCTAGGCAACCCAGGACCAGTAGAGTAAAACCTACAAATTCCTGATCTCTGATCAAAGCTTGGTCTTCACGGTTGTCAGGCAATCTTTCCATATGTTTCTATTCTCATTCACCATATTATCGTTGTCGACTCTTTTTCATTCAGACTAAGGCCTCTGACTACCCTCTATTCTCAACCACTCTCATCTCCTCTCCCAATCACAGAAAAATTAGAGGTAGTCAAGGAACTCACCATCCCCATGTTCACCTTCTCTCCTACTCCACCTCCAACCTACCGTCACAATGGAAAACTATTCTTGTACCTCTGTTTTGGTATCTAGCTATACCTCCTGCATCCAAATTTCTCAGAGGTCTCGCTCCATCAGTTATCTCCTCTCTCAGCATTCTCTCATTATGTTATCGACGATCTTGAGCCTATAAACACATTCAATCTCTCTTATCTTAAAAATAAGCCCCTGACCGCTCCTCACTCTCTAACTACAGCTATATCTATTTCTTTACCTTCATAATCCAGGTTTTTGGGGTTTTTTTAATTTTAAAGATTTTTTAAAAATAATTTTTCCTTCTCCCCAAAGCCCCCAGTCAATACATAGTTGTACATAGTTGTGTATTTTTAGTTGTGGGTCCTTCTAGTTGTGGCATGTGGGACACCACCTCAGTGAGGCCTGGTGAGTGGTGCCATGTCTGCTCCCAGGATCTGAACCGGCGAAACCCTGGGCCGAGGAAGCAGAGCACGGGAACTTAACCACTCGGCCACGGGGCGGCCCCGACAATCCAGGTTGTGAAAGGATAGTCTTAACTCTGTATCTCCATTTCTTTATTTTCTTTCACTTTTTAATTTTTGTTATAAGGCACCCTTTTTCAACATTTCATTCAATCTGCTCTTAGGAATGGCTTTGTAGTTGCTAAATTTAAATGGACATATTCTCAATCTTCATGCTTTTGACTTTGCAATATTTGATACTGTTGATGACTTTCTCCTTCTTAAAATTATCTCCTGTTTAACTTCCAGAACTCCATTTCTCCCAGCTCTCTAGACCTTATTGTCAGTCTGCTTCGCGAACTCTTCTCCATCCGTTCTTTGTATGTTGGTCTTTTTTCCATGGTTCTGTTCTTGGTCACCTTCTTTCCTCATTCTGCACTTTCTTCCTTGGCTGGGGCAGGGGTGGGGGGTACGGCGTGGCACAGAGAATCTTACCAACTCAGATTATTACAATGAGTATGAGTTAGCTGACTCTCTCTCTATATGTATATACTGTTTATTTACTCTGTAACGAGGCTACCGGCAACCAAATCCTCAAGGCAGAAACCTAGAAATTATCTCTGAATCATTTCTCAAGCTTTTTCCTCACCTTACCTCTAATCATATGCAACCAGATCCCAAGTCCTATTGGTTATACACCTTAAATACCTCTAGTGTCTAGTTCTTCATATCCATTCTTCCTGCTATTGTCTTCATTTAGGCTTTAATCGTTTCTCACCTGAAACACTGCAAAGTTCTTTTTAATAGTCTCTCACCTAGCAGGCTCATCCTTTCTGTCTACCACTTGAATAATTCTTGTATAATATAAATCTGATTAGACCATCCACTTGCTTATAGTTTTCCATTGCCTCTCATGACCTTCAGGATAAAACCCAATCTTGATCTGGCCTTTGCCTACCTGCCCTGCCCAGTTTATTACTGTTCCCTAATTCATACAATGCTCTAGTTTTGCTAAACTTTGTGCAGATAGTTCTCCCAAAGTCATGTCTTCTTAAATGTCAGTGCCTTTGCACACACTTCTCTATCATCCCAGAATGCCCCGTCTGAGCATTTTCACCTGAAAGCTAAATCCTTTTCATCATATAAATACTCAGCTTCTGTATCTCCTCTGAGAAGTTTTCCCCAACACACTCAGTCTGGGATAAATGTTACTTTCGCATCCTTTCAAGAACCCTCATGCCTACACATAGCAGAACACTCACCGTGCTTTGTTCCGCGTATTTGTCTATCTTCTTCACTAAACTGATATCTTCTTTGCTGTATTACCAACATCAGAAACAGTGCCCAGTGTATTACAGCTGTTAAAGACAGATTTACTGCATGAATGAAGGTAAATGCAGATAAAAGATAAATATAATGAAAGGAAATATAAAAGACTGAGTTGAAATTTAATAATGGATGTACAATTTTTAATCATTTCTTAAAAACAGAGCTCGTTATGAGAAGTTTTTGTTGTATAGTGAAGTAGAATTCTCAGTTGTGAGGATTAAAACTCAGGATTATAATTCATTAGGGAGACAGATTTTTTAAAAACAGGTTTTCTTTTAATGAAGGTAGGTTTAAAAAATTGAATAGATTCTTCTCCCTCAGGACGGCTTATACATGTCTCATGAGACCAAGACAAGTCATCCTGAGATGTTGAGTTTTGAAAAATTCTTCAAATAAAAGAATTGCAAAAGCAAAATTTCATAGTGAAATTATTTCTTTTCCATCTTCCTGGCCCTGGATAAAGTAAAGTTTATGGTTCACTTTTTTTTTCTTTTTTTAAGTTTGGATCATGGAACTTAGCCAAATATAAGACAGCTAAAATATTTTGTTAGTTATAAAATTTTGCTTTGAGTACTTGAAGACTTATTAAGTTACTCAAATTTTAAGACACTGGGAACTCACTTTTGTGGATTCTTGATTATCTTGAAAATTTCTTACCCTGGCAGAATGGGTTTTACTGTTTCAAAGCAAACTCTGTTATCCTTTACAATGAATTCATCCTATTTTCGGTTTATGTGTCAATAACGAACACAGGATAGTACCAATAAGACCCACCTACAACATAAGAACATTAATAATACAGGAAACACTTTGTGGCCATGGAGAGGGTCAACATTCATTCTTCTTATTCTGTGTATTTTTTTCTCATTTTTCTACTTTGGGTATAAACTGAAATGGTTCTTTGAGACCTACTGTTATTCCTAAAGAAAGATTTAATACTATAAATGTTTCTCAAAGCACTGTTTTAGCTGTATCCCACAAATTTTGATGTTTTATTTTCATTTTTATTCACTTCAAAATATTTTCTAATTCCTTTGAGACTTCTGCTTTTTATCCAGGAATCATTTAGAAGAGTGTTTTAAAATTTCCAAATATATGGGGCATTTTCTAACTATCTTTCTATTTTTGATATTTAGTTTAATTTCTTTTGTTCAGAAAACATATTTTGTATCATTCCAATTATTTTAAATTTGGTACAGTTTTATTTTCTTGTTTGTTTTTTGCTTTTTATAGTGCCAGAATGTGATTAATGTTGTTGAATATCCAATTCCAATAGGAAACAATGTGTATTCTGTTGTCATTGGACAGAATGTTCTATAAATATCAAATAGGTCGAGTTGATTGATAGTGTTGTTCCAGTTTCCTCTGTCCTCACTAACTTTTTGTCTACTTGTTCTAACAATTATAGAGAAAGGAGTGTTGATGTCTCCAATTATCCCACACTTTGTCTTAGCCAAAGGCCAAGAAGTGATTCCAATTATAATTGTGGATTTTTCCTTTTTTTAAAAATTTCCATCAGTTTTTACTTCATGTATTTGGAAGTTTCATCGTTAGGTGAATATACATACAGAATTGTATGCCTTCATAATAAATTGACCCTTTTACTGCTATGTAATATCTCTCTTTATTCTTTTATTCCTGCTAATTTTCTTTGCTCTGAGGTGAACTTTGGTATTAATATACGGGTTAATCCTGATATAATACATAATTAGTGTACTACATGGGTTAGTGTTTGTATGATATCTATTTCCTTTCTTGAACTTTTTTTCTTTTTTTTTTCAGGAAGATTAGCCCTGAGCTAACATCTACTGCCAATCCTCCTCTTTCAGCTGAGGAAGACTGGCCCTGAGCCAACATCCGTGCCCATCTTCCTCTACTTTATGTGTGGGAAGCCTGCCACAGCATGGCTTGACACGCAGTGCGTAGGTCCACACCCAGGATCCAAACACTTGTACCCCGGGCCGCTGAAGCAGAACATGTGAACTTAACTCCTGTATCACTGGGCTGGCCCCCTTTTCTTGTATTTTTAACCAATCTATTTCATCACAATTATGTAAGTTTCTCGTAGTCAACATATAACTGGGTTTTATTTTTTTAATCTACTCTGACAATCTCTGTCTTTTAATTTATATGTTTCTACCTTTTACATGTTATATACTTATCAATAAAATCAAATTTAGGCTTAACATTTTATTATTTGTTTTCTGTTTCTCTGTCCCCCATTTCTTGCATTCTTTTGGATTATTGGAATATTTGCTGTATTCTATTTTAATTAACCTCTTGTATTTCTGGCTCAATCTCCTATTTTCTTTTCTGGAGTTATTTTAGGGTTTATATTACTCATAATATTTCACAGTCTCCTAAAAGCTAACAGTTTACCACCTCTAGCAAAATGTAGAAACCTTTAAATCATTTGAGTCCCTTTTCCTTTTCTACTTATGTTATAATTGCTATGTTATGTTATATGAGAATTGGTCATTTCTTGGTTCTTTGTCTGTCAGATAATTTTGGATTATACCCTGGACATTTTGAGTATCATGTTGTGACACTTTGATGTGTTAACATCCTCTCGAGACTGTTGATCTTTTATATTGGTAGGCAACCATGCCGCTTAGGTTCTGATCTCAAGTTCTCTCTCTCCTTTTCTGGATGATGGTCTCAATGTGTGCTCAGTTCTCAAAGTTTTTGTTACACTATTTGGGTCTGCCCCGTTCCTCAGCTACTTGGAGGTAAGTCTGGGACTTGTGAAGCGGTACATAGAGTAGCTCAGTTCTCAAAGTCTTTCTTATGCTGTTGTGGGTATGTTCTGCACAGGCATCTCTCAGGGGTTAGCCTAGGACTTGAAGAGTGGCTTACATTGTAGCTCAATTTTTGAAGGCTTTGCTGTGTTGTTTTGGACCTGTTCTGCACAAGTGTAAGCTGGCAGTGAGCCCTGGATTGCGTGGACCTGAACCCAGGCTGTGGTGGTGAAAGTGCCAAATCTTAACCACGAGACCATCTGGGCTGGCTATAAAATTTTCTTATAATCCTTTTAGTTTGAGAAAGGTTTGTAGTGCTATCCTTTCTCCTTCTTTATTTTGTTAATATTTTTCTTCTGTTGTTGTTATCAACCTATTTTCAATATTAAGGACTTTCTTTTATTCCCTTGAGTAGAAGCATTGCATCCCACTTATTAACACTTCATTTTTTAAAAAAGTATGTCAATTTTAAAGTAAGAATGTCTAACATTCTATTGTTTAGTTCATAGAGTTCAAAGGTACAGATAAGAGAATAAGATAGACATATGCAGCGTATTCATATGGGCGTTATATGGATATAATACAGACATAAGCAGTATTGTGTACTAGAAAGAGTTGTGGATTTAGAGTCTCAGAGAACTGCATCCTAGTCTTGAATCTGTGCTCCTTATGAGGTTCATGAATTTGGAACAGTCACTCTCTCTTTGTTTGCTTTCTTTATCTCTCTAATTGAGCCAAAATAAGCTACTACTCAGAATTGAGGTAGGGCTAAAAATGAAATGATGTAAGTGAATGTCCCTTGAGAACTGTACCCTCACATGAAAATTTAATAATCATCATTATGATTGTTTAACTTTTCAGACTTCGCATGATCTTTGCATCAAGTGTCTGCAGAACATTCACATTATGTAAGCAAATTTTAAAACCTCATTATACAATGCCCTTATTAATCACAGCAGCAATACTTAAATCCTACAACAGTAAACTGTAGCAAGTCTGACATAATTTAAAACTTCAAAATTGGCTTCTGACTGTAAATAATTTAAGCATAGTTTCTTTTTAAACTGAGAGAAATTTTTTCACTATTTTTCAGCTTAAGGCAACTTTTACATCTATTCTTCTTTCTTTTTGCTCATTCTTTCTTCTTTCTTCTTTCAGTATCTCCTTTTCTTTTTTTAATCTTATACTCTTTCTCTTTTGCCTTCTCATTCTCTCTCTCATTCTTTCCTTTTTCCTTCCTTCCTTCTTACTCTTCTCTTGCTTGCTTTTGGATTTTTTCTTCAAAAGTATCTGCTTCATGCTAGTTTTGTGCTGGATCTTTTGCTAGTCACTGGACAAGCAAAGAAAAACAAAACCTTTGGGTCTGGCCTGGTGGCGCAGTGGTTAAGTTCTCACATTCTGCTTTGCCAGCCCAGGGTTCGCTGGTTCAGATCCTGGGTGCGGACCTACGCACCACTTGTCAAGCCATGCTGTGGCAGACATCCCATACATAAAGTAGAGGAAGATGGGCACAGATGTTAGCTCAGGGCCAGTCTTCCTCAGCAGAAAAAAGAGGAGGATTGGCAGTGGATGTTAGTTCAGTGCTAGTCTTCCTCAAAAAAAAAAAAGAGAAAAGTAAAACTCTTGACCTCAGTGAACTTGTATCTTCCATGCTATCCATCTCCACCTGAAGAGTCTTCTAATGGTTCCCACACATCTTACCAGTTGGTCTGCCTGCAAAGGTAGAAAACAGTTATCCATAGTCATGCCCCTTGGTCGTGTTGTATTTCCACATCTTGGGATAGGCTTAGTCTCAATCAATGTTTTTAAAACTGCAGAATATACCTTGTCAGTGCATTAGGTATTAACCAGCACTTTAAAAACATGAAATAGAATAGTATATGACAGAAAATATTTTGTAACATATTGTGAGAGTAAGTATTGTTTTATGAAGGCTTTTTTACTTTATATTTCCTCCTATTTCTATATCAAGCCACATTCACAAATTTATGTGTGCACTGTTCATGATGCAAAATGTATTTCTTACAGACCATGGTTCAAATGTGTGAAAAATAATCACCTACACTACTAAGATTCAGGGCCATTCCAGGATTTCCAAAAAAGAAAAGAGACAAACATAAGTGGTGATAGAAAAAAGAATTAATAGAAAAAAAGTCACTTTAATATTCACCTGTCTGAGCTAAAATTCTCTAGCCAGGTTGATTCTTGGTGCAATCACGATAAAATTGTTCTTAAACTTGTTTTCCAAGGATGTTGATCCGATTGGAGATGAATATATACGACACAACACTAGGCGTGGAACACCCCTTGATGAAGAGGAATCCCAGGGGGCCCTTCGAATTAACTTACCTACTGAGAGAGCATAGAGCCCACCCCTTCATCTTTAATATACAATGTAACAAATCTTATGGTCCTAAAATGGACAAAGTTTCCTGGAATTGAAATTCTAAGTTCTGAAAAGCCTAAAAATCAATATCACTTTTAACTATGGGAAGAACCATAACCAGTGAGCCTAATGGCAGCTGCGTTGAGCTCAAAGGGAAGCCTAAAGCTTCAGTGATGTTTCTTGTTATAAAAACTTCACTGAAGAGAAATATGTTTGTTAAAGAGTGTTATTTTGAAACACCACATTTTTGGGATTCTAGCATTCATATCTTCCATGGTGATAAATTTTTAATAGATCATTATATCTTCTGTAATACTTCCAAAGAATTTCATCATCTACCAACAATATTTCTTAAAGCTAAATATGATTTATTCACTGTTGGCAAAGGAAACAAAAGCCTCCCGTAAGTTTTTGAACAAGACATTTATTTATTCTCTTGTGCTGTTGCTAACAAACATAATACAAAATGTGATAAATATATCCTGAGAAAATCCTACTTGAAAATCAATTAAGAGTAAGCCTTCTGCTAAGACACCTCTGCCATACATTGATAATGATGGTAAAAAATGTCATCATCTTTTTCTTTAAGAAAAAATAAGAAGTCATAGTTATATTACAGAAATAGTTTCCACTAGAAAATCCATACCATTAGGGCATGCTTTAGTTTTCTAGGATGCATAACAAATTACCACAAACTTAGCAGTTAAAACAATCAGATTTATGATTTCACAGTTCATGTGAGTCAGGAGTTTGAGCACAACCTAACTACTGTGTCCTCTGTAAGGCTGTAATCAAGGTGTTGGCAAGGACTTGATTCTTGTCTGGCAGGTCAACTGGCAATGAACTTGCTTCCAAGCTCACTCAGGTTGTTGGTAGAATTCATTTCCTAGTGACTATAAGATGAAAGGTCCTGACTTTTTGCTGCTAAGGTTGCTTTCAACTACTGGAGGTCAACTGCAGCTTCTTGCAAAGTGACCTTTTCCATACATCCTCTCAGAACATAGCAGCTTACTTCTTCAAAGGCAGCACAGGAGATAAAGAATGAGTCAGCTAACAAGATGAAATTTTATGTGATGTAACATAATTATGGAATATAACATAATCATCAGAGTGACGTCCCTTAATCTTTGCCATCTTCTCTTGGTTTAAATCAAGATATTACCTGCCTGTAACTGAGGGGCAGGGATTACATAAAGCATTAAATATTAAGAGGCAGGGATCATGGAGGCCGCTTTAAAGTCTGTCTGCACGAGGCAGGATCACTTTTGTCCTGTTTACACTAATATCCCAGGAACCTTGCAATGTGCCCAGGACAAAGGCTGTAGTCAGTGATAAATGAATGAATAGATGACTCAGTTATTACACTCATTACAATTTATGTTATTACGCTACTTGTTTGACTTGACACAATATTAGAAAACGAGTTTTTATTTAAAAAACCTTTTAAGATTAGTCTGATGCTGTCATTCCCTCCAAACAACAACTTTATGTTTTTTCTTCATTTCCATGCTTTTAATTTGGGTACTCAATACCAAGATAAATGAGACAGTGAGTGTGTGTTCTGTTTAGGTGTTCGGCAGTTTGGTTATAAGAGATCGATAAGCATAATTGCATTAATTGTGCTATTTCCTATAAAACATCTAGATAAAATAATTACTACTATGGGTAATTACAACCATTAAAATACATAATATTCAATTTAGAGCAACATTTAAAGAAACAGATATACCATGTTACATTTAGCTATTAATTCATGTAAGAATTAGTAAGCATTTATATTCCAGGCATTGTGGTAGCTGTTAGGGAGTGTTGGGAGATAAACAAATCCTGCCCGTTTGGAGGAAATGCTTCTTTGTTCTTCCCCATTGGAATGAGTCAGTGTGGACAACCTCAGATTTTTGGGGGTCATGAAAGTCATGCTGTAAGATTTATAGCATGGAGAAGTAGAGCAGAAGGGCCATCCCTGTGGGTAGCTCACAACCAATGGGGAAAAAGCACAAAAGGACAGAGCTACACATTCCCATTTCCTGCTTCCAACTCAACAATCAGAGAATCATTACATCTCCCGTGGGAAGGGTAAATGAGGGGGAAGAGGAAGACCACTGATGTTATATAATGGAGATTTTATCCACCCAGAAGAAACATCAGAAGTGGGGAAGAATGAGGAAGCACTACCTCCATCAGGCGGGATCATTGTATTTACTATGCTATTTTAAAAATTGTCTTTATCCTTTATCTAACTCATTTTCCATGAAATGAGGTTGAATAGATGAATCTCAATCTGAATCTTTAGTAATGTGCCCATTATCTGAATTTTTTCTGTTAGTTCCTCAGTTTCTAATCAGTATTGTTGATATCAACCATCCCTCCCTTCTTTGCATATTTACCTTTACCCCAATTTTCACAAAACCAAGGAAAGGCACCTATTTCTTTTTAAGACTTAATAAGGAAAATGTCCTGTGTATTTCTCCAAGTTGCCCTACTCTGCTTTTCCCTTGTTTCTCTAAGCAACAAAAGACGAAAGAAATTGTGTGTTAAATAATGTTTTTGTTCATAAATATTCCTGATGTTCTCTTCAATAATATATCTCACTTGCAGCTGGCTTTAAAAGTTTATCCAATTTTTCTCCTTTGCTTTAATAATTAATGCCCAGTCAACACAATTAGTTTCCTAACCAATAACTCTATTAAATACGCAGATCCTAAATTTAACCTACTCTGCATTTATACTGCCAAATTTTAAAGCATTGGTCTTAGAATATCTAAATAGAATATCAAAAAACAAAATTTTTTATTATGGGAAAAGAATAAGGTCTCCATCCCTTCACTATTCTTACATTCTGTCAGAATAGTAGAACGAAAAGGAGAATCAGATAAAAAACATAACTCCATCTTTAATGAAATTAAGAGACATCTGAAATCCCAAAAGATAAAATAAGAATTTAAAAGCAGGGAAATGGGGGAAGACATGTATAGAAGATGCCTATGACTGAAAATCTCAGCAAATCTGAGTGAGCATACTTCTGTTTACAACAATGAAAACACTATGTGTGGACTCACAGTGAGAACTTCTCTAGATTTGGTTATGTTCAAAGAAAAAGAAAAACAGAGGAGGCAGAGTGGAATGAAGAATTATCCAGATAAGCCTCATTTACAGAAACAGATTGTTATTGCTGCAATCAGACTAGAAAGACTTTGGAAACAACCCTACAGCTGCATATCTTGTAAGCTTGGCAGAAGTAAACACTGAGAAAACTCACATGACACAACCTTGGTATATAAGGAAAATCTTCTGCTAGCCTAGAACATAGCATTGGTCCTTCCTCCACATAAGCCTCAGGCATATTGTTGATTCATCAAGAACTCACTTTATTTAAAGACAAGAAATTTAAAAAATGAAACAGTCATGATGGATATGCAAACTGAATTCAACAGCTCATTAAAGCAATCATACACCATGAGCAAGTGTTATTTATTCCTGGGATGCAAGGATGGTTCAACATATGCAAATCAATCAATATGATATGCCACATAACAAAATGAAAGAAAAAATACACGATCATCTCAACAGATAGATAGGAGAAGCATTTGACAAAGTTCAACATAAATTCACCACTAAAACTCTCAACAAAATAGGTGCAGAAGGAACTTATCTCAATGCAATAAAGATCATATATGAAAAGCCCACAGGAACACCATAATCAATAGGGAAAACTGAAAACTTTCCCTCTAAGATCCAGTACAAGACAAGGATATTCACTCTCACTACTTCTATTCAACATAGTACTAGAAGTCCTAGCAGAGCAATTAGCAAGAAAAAGAAATAAAAGGCATCAAAACTGGAAAGGAAAAAGTAAAATTATCTCTGTTTGCAGGAGACATGATCATATATGTAGAAAACCCTAAAGACTCAACAAAAGTACTGTTATAACTAATAAACAAATTCAACAAGTACAAGATACAAAATCAAATACATAATTCAGTCACGTTCCTATACACAAACAAGGAACTATCCAAAAAGGAAATTAAGTAAACAATTATATTTACAATAGCAACAAAAAGTATAAAATACTTAGGAATAAACTTAACCAAAGAGGTGGAAGACTTGTACACTGAAAATCATAAAATATTGAGGAAAGTAAATAAAGAAGACAGAGTTCAATGGGAAGACATCTCCAGTTCCCGGATTGAAAGAATTAATATCATTAAAATTTCTGTACTACACAAAGTGATCTAGATTCAGTGCAATCTCTATCAAGAGTCAAATGGCATTCTTCAACAGAAATTTAAAAAAACCCCTAAAATTCATATGGAACCACAAAAGATTGAATAGCCGAAACAATCTTGGACAAGAAGAACAAAGCTGGAGGCATCATACCTCCTAACTTCAAAATATATTATAAAGCTATAGTCATAAAAATAGTATGATAGGCTGGCATAAAAATAGATACATAGACCAATGGAACAGAAAAGAGAACCCAGAAATAAATTCATGCTTCTATGATCAACTGACCTTCAAGGGTGCCAAGGACACACATGGAGAAAGGACAGTTTCTTCAATAATTGATGGGAAAATTGGATAGCTGCATGCAGAAGAATGAAATAGGACCCTTATCTCACATCAAAATAGATGAAAGACTTAGACATAAGACTTGAAACCATAAAGCTATTAGAACAAAACATAGGAAAAAAGCTTCTTAAGATTTGTCTGGGCAATGATTTTTTGAATACGACACCTAAGACACAGGCAACAAAAGCCAAGTAGACAAGTGGGACTGCAACAAACTGAAAATACACAGCAAAGGAAACAATCAACAGAGAGAAAAGCTAACCTACAGAATGGGAGTAAATATTTGCAAACTATATATCTAATAAGGAGTTACTATCAAAAATATATAAGGAATTCATACAACTCAAAAGCAAAAAGCAACCAGAGTAAAAATTGAGCAAAGGACTTAAGTAGATATTTCTTTACAGAAGACTTATGAATAACCAACAGATACATGAAAAAATGCACAACATCATTAATTATCAGAGAAATGCAAATCAAAACCACAATGTGATGTCACTTCACACCTGTTAGGATGGTTATTATCAAAAAGACAGAAGATAACGAGTGTGGCAAGAATGTGAAGAAAATCCTTGTTCACTGTTGATGGGAATGTAAACTGGTACAGCTGTTCTGGAAACAGAATGGAGGACCCTCAGAAAATAAAAAATAGAACTACTTTATGATCCAGCAATACCACTCTGGGGCACGTATCTGAAAAAAATAAAATGATTATCTGAGAGAG